ATACTATCTATAAATATTATAAATAAAATCGCGTTCATATACATTTAAAAAAAAGAACACTTTTCCTTAAAAAAAATTACATAATTTTCATTTTTACATTTTTACATTATTCGTATATAATTAAAAAATAAAATTTATTTTAAAATTTCCATGTAAAACTCTTTCAAACACCAAAATGAAATATATTATTTTTTATTTAATAAAAACAAATAATAAAAAAAAAATAAAAAAAAAAACAAAATAATTAATTAAATTTTTTTAATGTAAATATGTAAAAAATTTATAAAATAAAAAAAAAAACATTAAAAACATAAAATCGCTTATCGTAAAAAATTAAATAAATTTAAAATAATTATATCTCGCTTAATATTATAAAAATACATACAAAATACGGTATATATTTAATAAAATAATTATTTTATCGATTGTTTTTTTTATTTTTAATAAATTTATAATAAATTTATATATATATAGACACTTAAATCATTAATATTAATAATTTCATTTGATTTTAACTGCCAGATTTATATTTCATGTATAAAAACAAAAAAAAAACCATAAAAAAAATTTCATTTCAGCAATAAGTTAAAAAGAAAATAATAAAATATAAAATTATAATTACTTTAAAAACGAAATTTGCGAAAAATTATTTAAGAAAATTTTTATAGTTTTCCTCGTTTTCTTTATTTATACACATTTTCGTAACACATAATATTATAAAAGACAGCAAAATTTCATTATTCAAAATTTGCTTGAAAATTTTCTTACAATTTAATTCTCAAAAACAAAACTAAATTAAAAAATCCCTTTAAATGTAATTAATAATGTTTTTTTCTTGTGATTGAATCGCACTTACACCCGAACATATGAAACTAAATCTATCTACATGCTTTACTGATTAATATATTTAACTGTTATTAAAATCCTTAACATAAATATTTGCTCCCTTTTTATAAATACGATAACTTTATGGTGGCCGTAAGAGCAAAATTCATATGAATAAATATGCAAATTATTCTGTAAGAACAAGAAAAATATAGCAATTATAAAAGAAATTCTTTTGGATTCAATCGTATATGTCGGTCACCACATTAATACAACAATATTTTGCCTATACAGGCACTCCATTTTATAATCCGAAAATAAACTTGGAATAATTTTATTAATTAATAAAACTGCGGGCACAGTTTTTGCTTCAATTTTAAAGGAAAATAATTTTTTTAAAAATTTTTTAAATTTTTTTTTTTTAAAATAAAAAAAATTTTATCAAAATAAAATCAAGCATATTTTATATCAAATTTTTAATTTTTTAAAAAATCCTCTGCATTAAACATTTAAAAACTCATAAAAATATTCTTAAAATTATTATGAATGCATACATATTTGTAAATACTTATACGTATATAATTATTATATGTAATATTTTATATATATATATATGTATATATATATAATATTATAATATATTTACATAATATGTAGATATTATTATATGAAATAACAAAAAAAATATAAGTATATTTTATTAGTTTTAAATTCAGCTTTCCGTTCCTTTAAATTAAAAATTATAAAGAAGAAAAAAACAAGCAAACAAAAAAAAAATTTATAACAACAGCACAAAAAATAATAAAAAATTCAAAAGAATAAATTAAAATAAAAAATATAAAAAAAAAGTTAAAATATGGCTACATTATACATACATACATACATATATTAATTAAGATAATTCAAAAAAAAAAATCAAATAATACTAATCAATCACACGCTTTAAAAGACATAAAAAAAATAATAAAATATACATAAAATATTTCAAACAAGAAAAACAACAAAAAAATAATTGCCGCCATTTCGAAACCAAAATATAAACTAAATAATATCAATAAATAAAATGGCTGATAAAAAAATTCACAAATAAAAAATCATTATAGCCAAAAAAAAAAACAAAAAACATAATTACATTAAACAATATTCAAAAATATTGAAATTTGTAATTAAATAAAATAACAATAAAAATTAGAAACGAGTACATTCGAAAGTACACAATATTTGATAATCGAAATGTTGGTATTTATGTAACGTATAATTAAAATAATGAAATGTACACTAATTAAAACAAAACAAGAAAAAAAATACAAAAACATAAAAAAAAAGAAAAATTTATTAAATAAATTATTACGAAAAAAAAACCACAAAAAAAAAAATTGAAACCAAAAAAAAAACAAGAAAATTATGATAAAAAATAATTTGAGAAAAAATTTAATTTAATACATTTATAAATAAGCTAAAATTAAGCTTCATAAAATATAATTTCTTTTTTGAATAATGCTGAATGAAACAAAAAATCAAAAAACTAAAAAAAAAAAATATATATATATATATAAAAACTAGAAAAACAAAATAAAAAATCTTTATTTATTATATTAATGAAAAATATAAAATTAAAAATGAAAACAAAAAATTTTTAATAAAATTATTAAAAATTCCAAAAAAAAAAAAAAAAAAAAACAATTTTGTGTGTTATTTATCAATTTTCTTAATTCGTCCTTCGCCCGATTTCCTCCATACTTCACTCTATTATAGCCTATTTCATTTATGCAATCCTTTTTAATTGAATTACGAGTATAAGCTTGGAATTGTTAAAACATAAGACTTTTCAAAGTTATTAAAAGTTATCAAAAGTCCCAGAGAGCATGTTTATTTATTAAAATTTGTAAGATACACCCAATTCTGTTCTTACACGAAATTTGAAATGACACGAGTAAACACCAAAAAATATTTCTTATTTTTACACGACATAATCTGAAACAACAGGAATACAAAAAAAAATATTTTTTTTCTACCTTAAATAAGCCTGGTATTCTGATTGAATCAGAATTATGATTAATAAACGACAATAATATACACTGAAAACTGTTCCAGTGATGGCAGGAATTTTGCAGTCTTTCGCAAACGTATGCGTTTATTATCAGACAGTGACAATAAATAAAATTGTTTTATGTTTAAATTTTTGTTAATTTTTGGTTGTACTCTTGTTATTTATGTTTTTTATCAATGAATTTCTGATATACTATGTATTTTACATATTTTTTTCTAAAATCTAAATTTTAATTTATTTTATTTAATGAATTAAAACGAAAATAAATTCTTAAAATAATTAGAAAAATAATTTTTTTTTACATAACTTGCGGACTCGTGTATTTTTAACTTGTTTTTTGAGGACTAGAACCAATCTATTATTTTTGTACTAAGCCAATATCTTTTTTTACACGAATTTCTCGGGAACCATTCTATCGTGTACTAAAAGAATTAGGAAATGTTAGATTTGTAGAAATCTTTCTCGGAAAAATTTATTTATGTGTGTATATGAAAAATATCGTTTTCATTTATTGAACTTTAATTAAAATTCCACACACTCTTTTAAAAACAAAAATTTTAAAAACGTTATCTGAAAATAATTTTACATTACTGACAGTGTTGACATTATGGTAATTAAAATTCTACAATTTTTATAATATATATGTACAAAAATTTTACTATTTTTTGGTTCATAGTAGGTATACAACTAAATAAAATTTGAATTCAACAAATAAATACGATAAATTTACGATAAAAGAAATAAATACAATTCATACATATTACTGTTAATAAAAATTATCGTATTTGTGGTTTGTGTCTTAAATAAAAAATTACTTATAAAAAATCTGATTTCGAATTCTAAGATGATATATTCACAATATTTTTTTCTCTTTCTCAAAATTTTTTCAACTAACTGAGTTTTGTTCTGAGTTGAGCAACTAACTACATTCTGAAAATATTATTAAAAATGAATATAGAGAAAAATAAATGCTTAAATTTGTAAAAGTTTCACTAATAATATAAAGATGTCGCTAATATAGTTAAAAGGGATTTAGTTTGTATTATGAAAATTAAAAATTATGTTATTATAAACACAAACCGTAGGAGTACAAGGTTCATATCTATAACCAAACTATACAATATATAAATTTAGAACTAATAACTCGAAAGAATATAATATGGTATGCATTAATATACGCCTCTCATAATAAATATTGTATATTTTATTGAAATTTTTAAAATTTTAAAACTTATAAACATAAAATTAAAGAGAAATTAATATAAATATGACATTATTCATAAAAAATGCCATGTTTTTAATTAACTGTTTTTATACTTAAATATTATTTATACACATATACTTACTTATGTTATACATATATACAACACCATACAAACTTACTTACATTTAATAAATTTTTTTTTTGGTTGCCGGTGCCTATGTCAAAGTCAACTATTTGCTTATTGTACATATTTCCCAATATTTATAAAAGTTTAATCTTCATAGAGTCTTTAAGTATTATGAAAACTATCCCTTTATAACTTCATAAATAGGGTAATGAGTTCCGTACATGCCACAATAATGGCATCACTTTCTAGAATTTAGACAGTACTTTTTCGTCATTCTTTTTGAGAATAAATTTATTGATTCTTTATAATGTTACCCAAGTTAATACATAAATATTGATTTAAGGTATACTGTACATTCTGTACTTGAAAAACCATTAGTCAAGTACAATAGAATAATTGAGAGGGTTCATAATTTAAACCATATAACATACGGAGGTGAAAAATATCAGTTTAAAATTCCTAATCATGATAAAATTTAACGTTACAGTTGTCATTTTAAAAATATAACAATTTTTCTGAATGTATGTTACCATAAGTACTCGATTATTTAGATCACTTAGTTTTAGAAATTACCAATTTACCGGGCAATTTTTTATATGAACCTCATACAATTTTTAACTTCTCTCGATCATTAAATATCTTACAGTCTAATTTTTATTATCATGTAGCACATTTCGAGTCTTTTTTGAATTCTGATGTTACCTGAGCTTAAAAATATTCGTTCATTTTTTTAATTACAGGATTACCAGTAAATATGACAAATCTTTACCCGATTCCCAAAAGAAACAAAATAATCAATAAAACATTCCAAATTCGATTTTATTTTTCAAATTCAATTTCAATATTTAAGTATAATTTTTAACAAACAAAAAAAAAAAACAAAAAATAATTTTTTTTTTCGGTTTTTTTTTTTCTCTTAATTTAAAAATTTTAATTTATATTACGTTTTCTATACATCAAAAGAAGTCCGCAAGAACGGCAAGTTTTTTATTTTATTTTTTTTTTTATAAAAAGTTTTATTTTATATTTTTATTGTTTCTGACAAATTCATATTAACATATTACAGTTAACCTATATATATATTTCATTCTTTCTCAATACATTTTTGCACTATACAACGGAAATCTGCAAGGATATAAGAAGAAGAAAAAACAAAAATAACAAAAGTAACAAATAAAACTACAATAAAAAATATTTTGAATTTTTGTTTTTTTAATATTTTTTTTTAATTTTTTTAATTGACCTTAAAATTCGTAAAATAAATTTCAATTTATTCTTTTTTTTTTTTCATTTGTTTTCTTTAAAAAATACATTACATATATAGAATTGAATCATAATCATAATAATAATAATAATTAACTATAAATAGAATAATAATTATAAAATTATCTATTTTAAAATTATATTAAACTTAAATGTGTACACAATCAAAAAATATAAAATTCTAAGTACATTAATAATTCATAAGAATTTAAAAACTATAATTAATTTTTTTTTTGTTAAATTAATATAAAAAAATAATTTGTGTTTTTTTTTATTTAATTTTGTTTTTCTTACTATATTTTAAAATATGAGTAAAGAAAAAGAACAAAAGGGCTTAATTATATAGATATTAATCTTAAAATTAAAAATTAAAATACTTAAAATATAAAATTATATTTTATAATAATTATAAAATAAATAATAAAATTAATATAATAATAATATTTATGCCAATTTTTATTTAATAATGTCGTTAAAAATTTGTTATATACCATAAAGATTAAATTTCTATAAAAATTATTTAATAAATAATTTTGTCTTATACTTATATGGAGAGAGAGAGAGAGCGAGAGAGAGAGAGACAGAAATAGGAAGAGAGCATTTTAGAATTTATCCAAGAGAGTTTGAACAAAATATCAATTGTTCAAGCACAGTACCGGAATTTAATTTGATAAAATTTTAAATTAAACAAATCTAAGCAATTAAAATTCTCTTAAAATTTTATTAATTAACAGGTTTATAATAGAACTTCTGTTAATCGTACTTAGTAAAATGCATTGCCATATTAAGTTTATAATATGCCTTATTAATTACCGTAATAATAATATCGTATAACGTTAGGCTTAATTTGATATTATTATAATTGCTTTTATTTTTTAAAATATATACAATAAAATATTAAAGCCTAATCTTATATTTTTTTCTCAAAAAAATAAATAAATTAAAAATCCTATAATATATATTTTTAATAAAATTTGAAAATTTTAAAATAATGTTGAATGCAATTTTATTTAGCATCGTTTTATAACTATTTTATTTTTTTTTAAATATTTCCATTTTAAAACACAATATAATCAAACTTTACTGATGTTCATAAGTATGGTGAATTATATAGGGGGTTAAATATAAATTACTGTATAAAAATAAGCAATGAAATTTAATCTTTATATATGTATAATAATATGATACTTTGTATTGTATATAGTGTATAAGAATATAGGGGAAAAAAAAATAATAAATTGATATTACTTAATTATAAAAATAAAAATAAAATGAAAATAGCAAAAAAGCATGTATGTTTCATATTATATATATATATATATATAAATTAAAATATATTTATAAAATAAAAATCATTTATAGTAAAATTAAGTACAAATCAATTTTTTTGTAAAAATAAATAAAATACTTTATTAATATAATATAAAATTAAAAAATATGTACTTAAAATTCGAAAAATATTTAAAATTAAATTATAATTTTTAAAAAAACAGAAAAATACACCTAATATAAAATTATATAGATTAACAAAAAAAAAAAAAAAATTCGAAATATAAAATAATTAAAGAAAAAAATAAAATTTTTTTTTTTTTTGAGATTATCATCAGTTTTTAAATTTTAATTTTTTAAATTTTTTTTTTGTTGTTTTTCTGGAAAGTTGGTTTTTTTTTTCTGTTTTTGTTTATTTTTTTCATATTTTTTTTCGTATTTCTTTTTTTTTTTTGCTTCTGTTATTATTTTGTGTTCTTAGGAATAGAGATACATATATTTTATATATATATATATGTATAAAAACTATTAAAAATCTTAAATTTCAATATAATTTATATAAAATGAAAATATTGTAATTAATTAAATATTTTTATTGTTTTATTTTGTATTTTTCTTTTTTTTTTTTTAATATTATACTTATATTTTTTTTCCTTTTTCATTTCTATCTGCACTTCTATATATATATATATATATACATATATTTTATTTTCATAATATTACTTTACTTTTATAATATTTTGAATAATTGAACTAAAAACAAAAAAAATTGAGAGAAGCGAAAAAAAAACATTATAAATTAAAAATTTATTTTTAATTAAAAAAAATTTCCTTAAAATAATTTTCGAAAATTACAAATTAATTACAAATATTTAAAAACTTTTTGTTTTTTTTTACTTTGAACATTTCACCGAATTTGTAAGGTTTTTTTGTTTTTTTATTAACTTTTTTTTTTTGTAATTTTTTTTTTAAATTTAGATTTAATTTTTTTTTTTGTTTTTTCAATTTTATTTAAATATTTTTTTTTATAATACATTTTTATTTTTATTTATTCATTAATTTTTTTTTGTGTTTTTTTTTTTCATTTTTTTGTCAGAATTTTGGTCAGAATAAGTGAAGCTAAACTCTACATAATATAAGTGGTAGTTTTTCTCTCTTATCTTTTTCAATATTTTTTTCCTCTCTTTTTTTTTCTAATTTTTGTTTTGTTTTTTTTTTTTTGTTTTGTTATAATTTTACTCAACTTTCTCATAATTTCTTTTATTTTTTAAGTTCTGTTAAAATTACTAGCTATTTATATAATGTTATAGTATATATATTACGTATTTTTATATATACATATTGATATATATATATATATATAATATACATATTAGATAAAGGAGATTTATGTATATATATATATATATATATATATATATATGTATATTATAATATTATGTACTTACTTACATATACACAATTTTTTTTTTTTTTTTATATATACATAAAAATGATGAAACATGTTTTGAAATTTAATTTATAAAATGTACATACAATATTTATTTATAATATTACATACATAATATGTTTTTAATGAGCGGAAAAAAGAAAAATATATAGGTAAATTTTTGTTTTTATTTCAATGATTGAAATTATTATTTTTTTTTTCCATACATTAATTTGAATAGAAGCTGACTTTGTCAATTTTGATTCAGGTCTAAGTGTTATTTTTTTGTAAATTTATTTTGTTTAGTTTGTCTATGAGGTGCGCGTATACTCAATATTTCTTAATTTTATATGATTATAATATAGCCAATTGAGAGGACGAAACAAATCTAAATTTAAATAATAGAAAATACATTTTCTATTTAAAGTTTAATTTTAGAAAGAAAGGATAAAAATCTTTAAAATTGTTCTACATTACAAAAATATTGTAAATAAAAGTGTAAAATAATTCTGAATAATTAATTTTGGAATAAAATTAATCATAATTCCAATTTAATAAAATTGTTTAAGATTTTTTATTATTTTGAAAAATAAATAGTTTTATTAAATTATATTCTTATATCACATAATATATACGTTACATATACAAAAGTAATTTGTGTAGAAAAGAAGCCGGTTTATTAATTTTGTATAATTATTTAATAATTAAATTAAATTTTAATATTTCACCTATATATATATACTTATTCCGCTCTTTATATAATAATAATTTTATTGTTATACTTATTTAATTATTATAATTTTTGAATTAAGTACCTATATTGTAAATATTTTTTATATATAATATTGGAATTTATTTTAAGAAAGTATATAAGTACATTCTTTATCGTTTTGCTTTTTCTTTCTTTAATTATAATTATTTTAAGTACTTAATTTTGTTTATATTTAGTGAAAATATCAGTTTGTTTTTTTTATTTGATTTTTTTTTTTTTTCAATACACAATTTTACACTAACACAATGTCTTAAAATAGCCAAAAAGATTTCAATATTTTTTTTTTGTGTTTTTTTTTTTTTCAGTTTTATTATTTTTAAATTTTTAAAATTATATTCAATTGTTCATTTATCTAATTTTGGAGTTTTTGAAATGTTTTAATTTTTTTATTTTTTTTTTATTTAAATTTGGGTGTTTTGTTTTTTTTTTAATTTTTTATTATTAATAGGTAATTTTAATTGTAGTTTTTAATAGTGTTTTTTGTTTTAAAGTAAATATATAATGCATTGTTTTATATAATGGCTGTGTTTTGTTTTATTACTTTAAATGGTTTTAATTTAGTAAAAAAAATAATATAGTATTAATTACCTAATTCAAGGTATAAAGTTATGACTACACTTAGTTATGCAAATAGCTTTCGCATTAATAAAAATTAAAATATTGAAAATAAACTAGTTTTAATCATAATTTTCAATAAATCGATAAAAAACTAAAACCGCCTATGTATTTTGTAATTAAATAATTCTCTAACGCGAACCGCAATTATTTTAAAATGATAATAAAATTTTTTTTTTAAAATTTATCGGAGACACAAAATAAACTGTATTTTATTACAGATTTGCGGTAGTAGTGGTAAAATGATAAGTGTTTCTGTTTAACAGTGATATCTGTTAATATGAAAATTCTATAGTATTTTAATGTGCCATCGAGATGTACAGATGTGTCGGCAATAAATTAATTTAATACTGCGGCTAAATGTATAGAAAATATAAGATTAATCCTTAACACATTAAAAGAATATGACACATGGAAATAGCATATAACTGTATTTTTTTATTATTGCATTAGGTATAATTTAAAATTGCAATATTGTAATATTGTAACAAGGAAATGTCAGTTAGTGTGAGCAAAATGTATGGCATTTTTCTATAATTGCTCCTGTTTGGGCATTAAAATTAAAAACCTTATTGTATACTGTTGTATTTTCTTTTAAAATATTTTGTTAACTGAAATTGTTTTTAAAATAAAATCATTAAGATTTAATTTGTTTCAAGTTTTAATAACAGCTGGTATTAAATGAAAAAAATTGAAATAGAAATGTTTTATAGAAATTTAAAAATAATGAAGTATATTCAGAGTATGATATTATTAAATAATACTCATATTTCATCG